CACCCGCCGCGCGCCCCCGCTCCGCGCGGGGCCCGAGCCCCGCGGCCCTGCCCGCGTGCCCGGGGAGCGCGGGCCCCGTGTCGCCCCTTCCGAGCTGCGGTGGCATTTTCGGAAGGCACAGCCAGCCTGTGACACGCTCAGCCACTGCACGGAGGAGCACTCGGAGCAATGACAGCGACACCCATTACCAGCGCCTCCTTGGGGAGCTCCTTCCCCTCCAYCCGAGGAGACCCTCCAGTCGGAGGCAGGAATTCGGCACAGTTGGGAGTGGGATAATTCCCCCGTACAGCCCCTTGTTCGGGCTTCCCTATCACCTTAGGTTGACTTAAGCGACAGTGGTGCACCTGGAAGGAAACGCTGGCAAGGAGAGTTACACACCAGGGTAGCAAAACCTCTTCAGGATGCCGCCACTGTAATTAAAGAGCTGGTAAAGCTTCCTCGCGCAGACAAGTCCCAGGAGCCGTTAATCTCTGATTTTCACTTGCTGCCATGCGGGTGGCCGCAGGCAGGAGATGTGACGCTGACCCGAATGAAATCCTTCCGAAGCGCCGTAACTTCTCCGCTGCATTCCTTTCCAGATAATGTTTAATTTTATGACTTCCTGCAACTCTTTAGCATGAACTTAAAGTGCATGCAGTGTGACTTCAGGGTATGCCAATTATGTAAATCGGCACTAAAATAACAATGGCAACGTAGTTTACACATCACTGACATTAAATGAGCACTTCAACTTCTAATTGCCATTCCAGTTCAATCTGTAGTGGGTCATGCCAGGAAAAAGTCATTTCTTGCCTCAACACTTACTCCCTGTGCCTGGAGCATAGGTTGTGCTGTATGCCCAGCTCTGCTTTATCTCTGGGAGGTTTCTATATTAGGATGATGAACCTTATAAGGGAGAAGTATCTTTATGTTGCTCCATGGGCCTGCATGTATTCTGATCTGATATCAAGAGAGTCTTGTAGGTTTGCCTCCTCTCTGCCCGTAAGTATAAATAGGTTCATGCAATCTTGCTTTCTCTTGGTAATAAAAGGCGTCATGCAGGAAAACGTTTCCTCTCTTCCTCTTTCATCTCCCTTGTCTATTTAGATTGGGAGCTCCTGGGATAGAGGCTCTATCTTACATTTGTTTGCACAAGGTCCCAAGCGACGACAGGAAGGGCTCATAGCATGTCCCTGCATGTGCTGGCGTCCCACACCAGAACCTCAAAAACAAGTAGCCCAGCTCTTTCCCAGTGCAGCTGGGGAAGGCTTCCTGGTGCAGGCTTTTCATTAGAGTGTGCAATTTCTTTTTGACCACAGCCTCTATCACAAGTGCCCTGGTGAATAAGCTTCAGAAAGTGTCATCTCCCTTTTCCCTCAAAAGGCATTTGCATTAGCAGTGAATCCCTGAGCATGAAGATGCTGCAACAGTCACATATGCTGAACCCCTGAGCATGGGGATGCTGCAGGAGTCACCTATGCGGAGATCCCCCCAGCAGGATCTGCCACGTGAAGCAGGTCAGATGTGCCAGATGTTGCACATCTTGTCACTTAGTGTCCATAGGCCACATGGTGATAGGAGGGGAGCCCGCAGGTAGGTGACTATTGCACTGCAAAGGCAGGAGGGTAGTCCCAGCATGACGTGGCCTTCCAAAGTGTTCACCCATGATAACTTCTGTAGACCACTCAGCTGAAGATTTCATTCATAAAACTCTCTGTAGGTGCCTCCTTTCACAAGGAGATACTTTGGTTCARCCATCCTGGGTGTGAGCTGTACGTTAACTGTCAGCCATGAAGGTCCAGTTATGGTTCATGATTCCTCAACACAACAACTAACTCAATATCCACCTGGAGAACCAGCCTGCTATCTCTGAACGCTGCATACAGGCCACAATTTGAGAAGCAGCAATGGGACAGGTGCATCTAGGCACAATAAATGCAACAGGAGGTGGAAACACACCAGGAAGTCCCCACCCAGATTTCCAGTTCCCAGCAGGAGCTTTCGCAGCAGACATCTCCCCTTCCCACCTTAGAGCTGTATGGCAAGGACCATGAGATAATGATACTGGAGGCAAATGAGCTGTATTTTGTGATGCTGCAGCCTTCACACAGGCTCAGTGAAGCCAAGGAGTGTAGTGATCCACCAGCCAAAGATCCAGCTCCAGATCCATCACACTGGAGTCCTTTAGTTTTGCAGTTTTGCAGAGCATACCTGCAAGTCAACTAAACAGGCAGAGAAACCACCACTTATGCTGAAAAGATCTGGTGCAGACACCGGGTTTTAGGAAACCTGACCATGCACATTCATTAATCTGCTTTGTGAAACTTTATTCATTTCCCTGCTTCTGAACCTTGTATAATTGATTGGACTGCTTAATTTCTTTTATTTTTTCTTTCCCGCGCTCGCTTTTTTCTTTTTCTTTTTCTTTCTTTTTTTCTTAACAGCCAGTGGGTATTCAGGTAGAGGCGCCTGCTTCTAGGGTTTCACACCCAAGTGTTCCTTTGCAGGACTCCAAATCCAGTTGATGGATCGCAACTTTAGGTATTGTTGGGTTTTCTTAGTAAATGTTAAAAATCTTTCCAAATAAGGATAGGTTTAACAACACAGTGAGAGTCCCTCCCTTTTTTTTTCTGTCAAGACTAGAGGGAGACCAAAGAAAGCCATTTCCTACTGCATTTTCCTCTTACAAATGTCAAATCCCTTTTATATGCTGCCACTATATAGTGTCTTTCCTCCATGTGGTTAAATAGTGACCGTCTTTCATGAGGATAGAAGACTCCAGCAGAAAGGCCTACATGAGACCTCCTCACCAGTGTCTCCAAACTATAAGTATCGATCCTGAACAAAATGACACAATAAGTTAGAGGTGCAGGTGTCCAGAAACATTCTCATCCCTCTATGCACATTGATAGTAAAGAGTTTTACCATTAACTTCAACAGACCAGTTAGTCCAGGACTGAGAACTTTTGAGAACTTTTCCCACTTTAGACCTCTGTCCCCCAGATATGTCTGGATTTGATTGGATGCATGATCTGAAGGATTTGATGCATGATATACTAATAGGTGTGAGATATATAAAAAAAAATAAATGTGTATGTATGTGCAAATGTGCACATATGTAAGTATATGCACATAGAGATTCATTCAGTAAAATGTGCAAATATATCATGTGCAGATATAT